GGGTCTAATGCTTGTCTTGCATCTTGGCCTCGAGTGCATCCAGGCGGGTTATGATGGCTTGCATCATTGCTAGCAGTCTGTCATCGCCGTGTTGCTTCTGCGCAGTAGTTCCAGTAGCAGTGGCGGCTGCTGGGGCAGAAGTGGACATAGGTTTCATCGCTTTTTGAGCGTAAGAGGTCCTGTTTGTGGTAGGGACTGCTTTGGGGGCAGAAGCAGCTTTCCTCGGGGCCTTACTACATCCCTTGTAGTTGGCGGGGTGGCCATTGACTGACATCTCCCTGGGTAGCTCACGAATGACCCTCTGGTCCATCCTGTCCTCCTTCAGTTGATAGGTGAAGAAGGGCCGCTTGATGGATTCCAGCAGTGCGACTAGCTAACGGTAGTCAGCTGGTGTATTTGTGAATACCTTCACACTGTTACCCGCCGTCCTCGCCTTGGAGAATTGAATCCCCTTGCTGTTCATCATCCTGCTTAAGGATGACCAATCAGCGGTGCCCTCGATATTGATTGGCGGGACTCCTGTTCCTGCCATGGGGGGCACGATGGTCCTGGTTGCTCTAGGACTCTTCTTGGTGGCGGCAGCTGGCATCTTTGGCTGCCTTGGTGACTCATCTTCGGAGGAGGAAACTCGCACCCGCTTCCTCCGTCTGGTGGCGACACTGAAATCGGTGTCGTCCGTCCTCTTCTCGGCTTCTTCTTCTATTTCTTCGGTCCGTTGAGTGCCCTCTTCTTGGGCGTCCATTTCGTCCGATGTAGCCTGGTGGTCCTCTTCCTCCTCTTCTTCTGTCTTCTTTGCGGCCTTCTTCTTGGCCCTGCGGAGCTTCCCGCTCAGGTCCTCGATCTCCTGTTTGGCCTGCAAGAAGGCTTCTTGCAAGTTACGCATCTGCTCTCCCAGCATGGCGAAAGCATCTTTCTTTTCTTTCAGCTGGTTAACCAGCTTCTCAATTTTCGCCATCGTAGATGGCAAACAACCAATCTTTTGCAATGAAAATCGCAATAAGATTGCTCAATAAGTCCGGGTGGGTCGCAGTCGCACAAGTGTATACTCGCGACGGCTGCTAGCTCGGAACTGACTGCGAATGACTGCTGCGCTGCGAATAGAATGCTAGGTTATATAAAGGATCAACCTGTCGTTTTATATTTGAAGGCAAATTGCAAACCTTACCAAAAACTAGTTCATATGGCGTGTACTTTGTTTCTGTATGCACAGTAGTATTAAATGCAAAACTAGAAAATTGTACCCATGAACTCCATGAATCTGAAAACATAGCACATTGCATCCTTAAATATGATCCCAAACTTTTGTGCGTATTTTCTACTTCTTGCTATTTCTGCTCGAATTTTCCTTTCCATTGGTTTTTTGCACATTCTAAAACAGAAAATAACAATTGTCGCCATAACCATAACCAAAGTTAAAATAGAAAGAATGTCTCTCATGGACCCAAAGGAAGATGATGGCCTCCGCTATTGCCAGCCTGGGCTATGATAACTTCTTCTTTTGATGCTTTTGACCCCATTCTGGTAATTAAATTAACTTAAAAGTCCCATTTGGTTTGGCAGGATCGCCCTGTAATATATGGGGATTTAGGGGTAGTTGAAGTCATAGGTCTTGCTTTAAGAACAGCTAAAAAGTAAGTATATTTTCCAACCTAAAAAATGATACACTTGCATTCCACAATTGTGTATGCCTACCACCGTTTATAAAAGAATACATAATAATATAGTTATATTCGTAAACAATCTCACTAACCTACTTACACAATTTGCTAATTCTAAATACAGTATGATTATATATTAATACTCCAATTATATACTACAGTCTTAATTTTGAGCGTGCCATCTTCACTTTCTGCACCTGGCCCTCGACATGGCTCTTCCAAGTGAGTTTTTGGTCCATCTTGACTCCAAGGTACATGCTGGAGTCCTTTCAATAGACCTCAACTTCTTCGTCTCTTCTCCAGCCTCTCTCCATTCTGGTGGTCGTCATCTTTAATTTGGTTTTTGGTAATCTTCGATTTCTTCGGGACAGTACCGCTTCGGTCTTCTCAGGGTTGAGGCGGATCTTCCACTTGATGCACTCTTTGCAGATATTCCGTAACCATTCGGGGTCTCGTACTTTCTGCCGCATACGCTGTGTCGTCCGCATACACATACAGTTGCGTTTGTGGAGTCTTCGGGATATCTGAACTGTAAATTGCATCCAGCAGGGGTGATAGAACCGCTCCCTGCGGTACTCCTGCCTCCACAGTCCTCGTCGTCGAAGACGTTTTTACCAATCCTAACTCAGAATTTACGATGCTTCAAATAGGACTTCCCCAGTTGGATCATCCCCGTTGAGTATCCGAGGTCTACCATCTTGTAGATCAGTCCGTCATGCCAAACATTATCGAACGCCTTAGCGGCATCCATGAACACAGCTCCCACGGCCCGCCGAGTCTGGAACGATTTCGTTGCCATCTCGATAAGTCTTAGGACCTGGTGCTCTGCTGAATGTTCGCTTCGGAATCCGAACTGTTCGTCTGGAACTACTCGGAGTTCTTCAGTTTTGTTCCTCAGTCTTCGTTCGATTAAGCTTTCCGCAATCTTGCTCAGTGCAGTCAACAGGCTTATGGGTCTGTAGTTTTGTGGGAACCTTGGGTCTTTCACTGGTTTTGGTATGTTGATCACTTCGGCTACTTTCCAGTGTTCTGGAAAGTATCGGTGTCTCAGTATGGCGTTGACAATGTTGGCGATTGCCATTATCGCTTTCCTCGGGAGTCTCTTCAAGACTCTTCCTCCTCTTACAGCTCTCCTCGATCTTCTCATCACCTCGTCGATGAAGTCTTCGTCTTCATCGGCGTGAGTATTGACAGTACACTGTCTCTGAAGGTTGTCAGCAAAAGCTTCTGCCTTCTCTTCGGTTGTGTACACCATCCCCTGTTCGCTGTGTAATGGGGGGATGGGCTGTCTTCTGTTTCCGAGGATTTTAGCCAAATTCCACATTCCTGGGTCAGCTGGAGATAATTCTTCGAGTTTCTGATCCCAGGTGCTCTGATGATGCTGCTTCAAGGCGTCTCTTGCCTGTTTTGTCAGTCTGTTTGCCACCATGATGTCCGTGGGGCTTCTGGTCTCCTGGGCTACTCTTCGGGCTCTATTTCTTTCGGTGATCTTGCGATTTATCTCGTCAGGTAGGTCCCTGAACTTGTTTGGTTGCGTTATGTCTTCCACGGTGGTTGCGGCTTCTAACGCAGCCTTAATCTTCCTTTCTAGGTCCGTGACCGCTTCCTCTATGCCTTCAGGGTTTTCGATCTGAAGTAGTGGTCCTAGTGAATAGTGAAGTCTGATTCTATATCGCTGCCAATCCACTCTCTTCACTGTTCTTTGCTCCACAGGTGTTCTCCCATCTCCCATATGGAGAAAGATGGGGTTGTGGTCTCAGCTTCCTCTTGCAAGGCGCCGATGGTCGTGCGCATGTCGATTTCTTTCAGAATCTCCATATCTATGACGTCTGGTCCACCTCCGTTGCTGGGGTATATTGTAGGTTCATCCGGACCTATCATGGTGTATCCAGGTTCATCCATTAGTCTTTCGAGAACAGCGCCATGACTGTTTCTGTTTCTTGAGCCCCAGATAAATCGTCGATGTAGGTGGTACGTATATCGATACGATGTTCAGAGGGCCATGGTCTGTTGTGCGTACCGTCACTCCTACGGCCTCTGCAGATCTTAGTTCTGGCAGTCCCAGTTCCCAGTGGGTAATGCTGGTCTTGACAGCAAGTAGCACCCCACCTCCGGTTCTGTTCCGGTCATTTATGTATGTCGTGTATCCCTGTATCGTCCTGTGTGGGATTTCCCCAGAGAGCCACGTTTCTTGTAGTGCCATTACATCGTAGTTTCCTTTTGTTAGGACTTATTAAATTTATACAAGGAACATAATACATAGAATATAAACAATTACAGAACAATGACGAGATTATACCATTTGCTAGCCAAGCATGCCAGAAAGCAAATATCGACATGAACAATAGAAGTCAACCAAATTGAAAATATTCATTTAACAAAATCCCAAAAATAAAAATAAAATAAATTAACAACTCAAACATTGAGAGATGATTGTATCTCTAATAGCTGTTTTCTAACTGATTTTTAGGGTAAGATTTTAATATTCTGTCACAGAAACTACACTTCTGCCAGTTTTTAGTGTCGATGGTCCCCTGTTGATTTGAGGGGAGGGGCTGTCTGTGAGCATCTTCTTGAATGGTTCTGCAGGCCTTTAACCCCTTTATGCCTGATTTTTTTATTTGATTGAAAAAAAATCCAACATACGCTGAAACGCATTTTTATTTGAATTTGTCCAGAAAAACATTACGGAAATTAAAAAAAGCTATTCCTCATGAAAAAAAATGCTTTGTATCTTATTTGATACTACCGGCTCTAAACTAATAAAGATGTGCATAATATAAACATTTCAAATGTGAAACTGCTTGAAGCAGTTTTTGTCTTTTCTTAGGCAGAGATGCACGTTACATTTCTCATATTTGACAGATGACAGCTGGTTGCATAGAGGAAATTTGCAGCGCAATCGTGCTTCTGTTACCAATGGGTAGTGTGCGGTTTGATCTCTCCTCACATCAAATGCTGGTATCGGAGCTGTTGGACCTCGTTTTTTCTTTAACGCATGGCTGTACCCAACTGAATCTCCCTCATTATTCGGTCTTCCCCTTTTTCTTGACAGATCTTTCTCATAGCGACATGAGCTGTAAACGACACTCGTTCGAAATTCTAGTTGATCTTCTGTGTCTTTTTTCGGCAACCCTTCTTCTTTACAGTCATTTTTGTACATGTTCTATGCGTTTATAACCATCACGTCAATAAAATGGTAGAAAAACCTCATGTAAAACTTTCGAGGTCGAATAAATATTCGGTAATTTGCCCATCTAAGAGGTCAACACCGCCCATAAATTTATTGTAGACATCAACTGCTAGAGGTTTTTGTATGATTATCTATTTTTCTATCAAATGTCAAAAACTCACCTCATCCCATTCCTCGGGCAATCTCCTTTTCCTAGATGGGGCTGCGATGGCAGCCGTAGCGACAGTATCCTGGAAAAAAAATTATCAATTATGGTTACTGTCCTCAAGTATTTAACCCCCATATTGACAAAAACATACGGATATTCCACGGAATATTTGCGAACGTACCGTGGTGCCGCTGAGGGCTGAATGGCACAGGGTGAAAACCGTGTCTTGAACAGAGCTTTCTTATCCTCCTAATAGATCACTGGAAGAATGACTGAATACACCTGAATGTTTCAAATTCTTGCTCTTTTTTGTTTCCGATGCGATGAACCGATAAGGCGGATTATATCCGTTGTTGCCAAACACGAGCACATAATACTATTATTGAGACAGGGCGGTACTCAAACCTCTAAAGGGCTATAACTTTGTATGTACTGGAATCTTGCCACAAAACAAAACATCGTGTGAAAAATATGAGTGAAGTGGTGTTTAGAACGACCGATTCAATTCCGTTGGCATATTCGATCATTCCACATGAAAATTGCTTCTATAAATAAGAGTATGTCAATTTGAAAACTAACAGCCAGTAAAATGCGTATTTCGTTTCTGATATGTCGATTTTTCTATCAAATGTCAAAAACTCACCTCATCCCATTCCTCGGGCAATCTCCTTTTCCTAGATGGGGCTGCGATGGCAGCCGTAGCGACAGTATCCTGGAAAAAAAATTACCAATTATGGTTACTGTCCTCAAGTATTTAACCCCCATATTGACAAAAACATACGGATATTCCACGGAATATTTGCGAACGTACCGTGGCGCCGCTGAGGGCTGAATGGCACAGGGTGAAAACCGTGTCTTGAACAGAGCTTTCTTATCCTCCTAATAGATCACTGGAAGAATGACTGAATACACCTGAATAAAATTGAGTAAAAACATCGTGATAAATGTTTCAAATTCTTGCTCTTTTTTGTTTCCGATGCGATGAACCGATAAGGCGGATTATATTCGTTGTTGCCAAACACGAGCACATAATACTATTATTGAGACAGGGCGGTACTCAAACCTCTAAAGGGCTATAACTTTGTATGTATTGGAATCTTGCCACAAAACAAAACATCTTGTGAAAAATATGAGTGAAGTGGTGTTTAGAACGACCGATTCAATTCCGTTGGCATATTCGATCATTCCACATGAAAATTGCTTCTATAAATAAGAGTATGTCAATTTGAATACTAACAGCCAGTAAAATGCGGATTTCGTTTCTGATATGTCGATTTTTCTATCAAATGTCAAAAACTCACCTCATCCCATTCCTCGGGCAATCTCCTTTTCCTAGATGGGGCTGCGATGGCAACCGTAGCGACAGTATTCTGGAAAAAAAATTACCAATTATGGTTACTGTCCTCAAGTATTTAACCCCCATATTGACAAAAACATACGGATATTCCACGGAATATTTGCGAACGTACCGTGGCGCCGCTGAGGGCTGAATGGCACAGGGTGAAAACCGTGTCTTGAACAGAGCTTTCTTATCCTCCTAATAGATCACTGGAAGAATGACTGAATACACCTGAATAAAATTGAGTAAAAACATCGTGATAAATGTTTCAAATTCTTGCTCTTTTTTGTTTCCGATGCGATGAACCGATAAGGCGGATTATATCCGTTGTTGCCAAACACGAGCACATAATACTATTATTGAGACAGGGCGGTACTCAAACCTCTAAAGGGCTATAACTTTGTATGTATTGGAATCTTGCCACAAAACAAAACATCTTGTGAAAAATATAAGTGAAGTGGTGTTTAGAACGACCGATTCAATTCCGTTGGCATATTCGATCATTCCACATGAAAATTGCTTCTATAAATAAGAGTATGTCAATTTGAATACTAACAGCCAGTAAAATGCGGATTTCGTTTCTGATATGTCGATTTTTCTATCAAATGTCAAAAACTCACCTCATCCCATTCCTCGGGCAATCTCCTTTTCCTAGATGGGGCTGCGATGGCAACCGTAGCGACAGTATTCTGGAAAAAAAATTACCAATTATGGTTACTGTCCTCAAGTATCAAAACAAAACATCGTGTGAAAAATATGAGTGAAGTGGTGTTTAGAACGACCGATTCAATTCCGTTGGCATATTCGATCATTCCACATGAAAATTGCTTCTATAAATAAGAGTATGTCAATTTGAATACTAACAGCCAGTAAAATGCGTATTTCGTTTCTGATATGTCGATTTTTCTATCAAATGTCAAAAACTCACCTCATCCCATTCCTCGGGCAATCTCCTTTTCCTAGATGGGGCTGCGATGGCAGCCGTAGCGACAGTATCCTGGAAAAAAAATTACCAATTATGGTTACTGTCCTCAAGTATCAAAACAAAACATCTTGTGAAAAATATGAGTGAAGTGGTGTTTAGAACGACCGATTCAATTCCGTTGGCATATTCGATCATTCCACATGAAAATTGCTTCTATAAATAAGAGTATGTCAATTTGAATACTAACAGCCAGTAAAATGCGGATTTCGTTTCTGATATGTCGATTTTTCTATCAAATGTCAAAAACTCACCTCATCCCATTCCTCGGGCAATCTCCTTTTCCTAGATGGGGCTGCGATGGCAACCGTAGCGACAGTATTCTGGAAAAAAAATTACCAATTATGGTTACTGTCCTCAAGTATCAAAACAAAACATCGTGTGAAAAATATGAGTGAAGTGGTGTTTAGAACGACCGATTCAATTCCGTTGGCATATTCGATCATTCCACATGAAAATTGCTTCTATAAATAAGAGTATGTCAATTTGAATACTAACAGCCAGTAAAATGCGGATTTCGTTTCTGATATGTCGATTTTTCTATCAAATGTCAAAAACTCACCTCATCCCATTCCTCGGGCAATCTCCTTTTCCTAGATGGGGCTGCGATGGCAGCCGTAGCGACAGTATCCTGGAAAAAAAATTACCAATTATGGTTACTGTCCTCAAGTATTTAACCCCCATATTGACAAAAACATACGGATATTCCACGGAATATTTGCGAACGTACCGTGGCGCCGCTGAGGGCTGAATGGCACAGGGTGAAAACCGTGTCTTGAACAGAGCTTTCTTATCCTCCTAATAGATCACTGGAAGAATGACTGAATACACCTGAATAAAATTGAGTAAAAACATCGTGATAAATGTTTCAAATTCTTGCTCTTTTTTGTTTCCGATGCGATGAACCGATAAGGCGGATTATATCCGTTGTTGCCAAACACGAGCACATAATACTATTATTGAGACAGGGCGGTACTCAAACCTCTAAAGGGCTATAACTTTGTATGTATTGGAATCTTGCCACAAAACAAAACATCTTGTGAAAAATATGAGTGAAGTGGTGTTTAGAACGACCGATTCAATTCCGTTGGCATATTCGATCATTCCACATGAAAATTGCTTCTATAAATAAGAGTATGTCAATTTGAATACTAACAGCCAGTAAAATGCGGATTTCGTTTCTGATATGTCGATTTTTCTATCAAATGTCAAAAACTCACCTCATCCCATTCCTCGGGCAATCTCCTTTTCCTAGATGGGGCTGCGATGGCAACCGTAGCGACAGTATTCTGAAAAAAAAAATTACCAATTATGGTTACTGTCCTCAAGTATCAAAACAAAACATCGTGTGAAAAATATGAGTGAAGTGGTGTTTAGAACGACCGATTCAATTCCGTTGGCATATTCGATCATTCCACATGAAAATTGCTTCTATAAATAAGAGTATGTCAATTTGAATACTAACAGCCAGTAAAATGCGTATTTCGTTTCTGATATGTCGATTTTTCTATCAAATGTCAAAAACTCACCTCATCCCATTCCTCGGGCAATCTCCTTTTCCTAGATGGGGCTGCGATGGCAGCCGTAGCGACAGTATCCTGGAAAAAAAATTACCAATTATGGTTACTGTCCTCAAGTATCAAAACAAAACATCTTGTGAAAAATATGAGTGAAGTGGTGTTTAGAACGACCGATTCAATTCCGTTGGCATATTCGATCATTCCACATGAAAATTGCTTCTATAAATAAGAGTATGTCAATTTGAATACTAACAGCCAGTAAAATGCGGATTTCGTTTCTGATATGTCGATTTTTCTATCAAATGTCAAAAACTCACCTCATCCCATTCCTCGGGCAATCTCCTTTTCCTAGATGGGGCTGCGATGGCAACCGTAGCGACAGTATTCTGGAAAAAAAATTACCAATTATGGTTACTGTCCTCAAGTATCAAAACAAAACATCGTGTGAAAAATATGAGTGAAGTGGTGTTTAGAACGACCGATTCAATTCCGTTGGCATATTCGATCATTCCACATGAAAATTGCTTCTATAAATAAGAGTATGTCAATTTGAATACTAACAGCCAGTAAAATGCGGATTTCGTTTCTGATATGTCGATTTTTCTATCAAATGTCAAAAACTCACCTCATCCCATTCCTCGGGCAATCTCCTTTTCCTAGATGGGGCTGCGATGGCAGCCGTAGCGACAGTATCCTGGAAAAAAAATTACCAATTATGGTTACTGTCCTCAAGTATTTAACCCCCATATTGACAAAAACATACGGATATTCCACGGAATATTTGCGAACGTACCGTGGCGCCGCTGAGGGCTGAATGGCACAGGGTGAAAACCGTGTCTTGAACAGAGCTTTCTTATCCTCCTAATAGATCACTGGAAGAATGACTGAATACACCTGAATAAAATTGAGTAAAAACATCGTGATAAATGTTTCAAATTCTTGCTCTTTTTTGTTTCCGATGCGATGAACCGATAAGGCGGATTATATCCGTTGTTGCCAAACACGAGCACATAATACTATTATTGAGACAGGGCGGTACTCAAACCTCTAAAGGGCTATAACTTTGTATGTATTGGAATCTTGCCACAAAACAAAACATCTTGTGAAAAATATGAGTGAAGTGGTGTTTAGAACGACCGATTCAATTCCGTTGGCATATTCGATCATTCCACATGAAAATTGCTTCTATAAATAAGAGTATGTCAATTTGAATACTAACAGCCAGTAAAATGCGGATTTCGTTTCTGATATGTCGATTTTTCTATCAAATGTCAAAAACTCACCTCATCCCATTCCTCGGGCAATCTCCTTTTCCTAGATGGGGCTGCGATGGCAGCCGTAGCGACAGTATTCTGGAAAAAAAATTACCAATTTTTTTTTTTTTTTTTTAACGAGGGGGGAATGCATTTACGCACCATACCATAGCACGAGCTACGACGTGTGTGGGGCTCCAGGGTCTTGAAGAGATCACCTAATACCCACTAAACCCTAAACCTCCGCGTGGCCCGACTCATCAGCGTCTCGGTAGGCCATGTGTTGTGCGTGACCTGCGGTCTGCTACAACGTCTCCTCATGTGTTTCAGTCTCTGGGAACGCCGGGTTGGTTCCCTTTACCTCGCACATTCTATCGATGTCGTTAAGCGATCATCGATAGAGGGTCTGCTAGTTTCTCTTGAAACTCTTGTTTTCGAAAAATCAAGAGTTTCAAGTCATCTTACCAATATGTTGTTCCTGGTCCTGGTCCTGAAGGGTCCTGGTCCTGGTGGGTCCTGGTCGTGGCGGGTCCTGGTCCTGGTTGGTCCTGGTCCCGGTGGTTCCTGGTCCTCTGCATCCACGCCGTGGGAGGGGGGGGGGGGGGAGCAGCCGCAAATTCTCCTAGTCTCCTAGTCAAGGTTCCAGTTAGCGGGTGCCAACTGGGACCTTGGTCTGGGGTACCTGGTTCTGCGGTTGCGAGGCCTCTCGTCCGGATCGTAGTCCATGAGGAATCGTAGCTGCTCGTTTGGGTGGTCCTGAGCTTTCTCGAAGGTCTTCTCCGCTTTTTTCCTCATGTACTCGTGGATGGTATCCCAATGCAGGTCTCTACGCAAGGTTGAGTTCCTTACGTAGGAAGGTGCATTGGTGGCGATCCGGAGTAGCTTCATCTCTAGAGCAGCAAGTCGCTTGCGGTAGCTGGGGGCAGCGTACCCCCAGACCGCGGAGGCGTAAGCGAGCTGAGGTCTGGCGATGGCCTTGATCAGCCGTAGCTTGGTCGCTAGCGGCATCTGGCTGTGTCTACCCAGTAATGGATAGAGTTGAGCCATGGCTGCTCTGGTTTTTGCGATGACAGCTTCTATGTGCGCTTTCCAGGTGAGGGACTTGTCAAAAACGATCCCCAGATATTTGACATTGTCGCTCCACTGGATATCTTCATCGAAGATGGATGCTTCGAGAGGTCTTGCAATCCTTCTTCGTTGAATGAAGATTGCCTGCGTCTTCTGGACGTTGATGCGGATTTTCCATTTCACGCACCAGTCCTGAATTTGGTCCAGTTCACCCTGTAGTCTCCTACGGATGATCTCGGGTCGTCTATGCTTGGCGGCTATAGCAGTGTCGTCTGCATATAGGGCCAGCATTGTGTCAGCTGTCTTCGGCACATCGTAAGTATAGATGTTGTAGAGCAGGGGGGCTAAGGCTGACCCCTGGGGCACGCCTGCTTCCAGCTGACGTCTTGTTGAATGGCATGTACCAATCTTCACCGTGAACCATCTTTGTGTTAGATAGCTCTGGATTAGTTGGCACATGTTCGCATCGATTCCGGCGGCTTCCATTTTGGCGATGAGTCCATCGTGCCAAACTCGGTCGAAGGCTCGTTCCACGTCCAGCAGGACGAGACCGGTTGCCTCCTGGAGATTGAAGCCGCTGGTGATGTTTTCCGTCAGTCGTAGCGCTTGGAGTTCCGTGTTGTGGGAGGATCTGAAGCCGAATTGCTCTGGGGGGAGAAGTTGCAGTTCTTCTGCCTGCTTCTCTAGTCGAACGGCGATAGCCTTTTCGACTACTTTGCCCACCGAGGAAACCAGGCTGATGGGCCGGTAGTTCTGGGGCAACTTCCGGTCCTTGCCTGGCTTGGTGAGCATTATAACCTGGGCTTCCCGCCACCGCCGCGGGAAGTGGTTAAGTCTCAGAGTGGCATTGGCGATGTTGGTGAGCGCAGCAATGCCTTTGGTGGGAAGGTTCTTCAGCATCCTATTGTTGATGCCGTCCCTTCCCGGCGCCTTTCTGACCTTCAACCTGCGGATGATCAGACGGATTTCCTCTGGACTGGAGGGGTGATCCGTCTCCTGGCCAGGTGGTCGACTCCTCATGTTTTCGGCTGCGACTTCCACGGCCTCCTCGTGGTTGTCGTCCTCGTCTTCATGGTAATTGAGTCTGCATTCGGATTCTAGCGAATCGGCGAATGCTTCGGCTTTTTCTTCACTGGAGTAGGCCAAGCCGCGTTGGCCGTGAAGAGTGGGGATCGTGGTGCGCTGACGACGAAATTTTCGCTGCATAGACCAGGCCGTACCATCCTGGGTCTCTAGTTCTGCACAGGCTGCATTCCATCTGTTGTTTTGGAGTTCCGCGAGTGCGTTCTTCAGAGCTAACGATGCTCTGTTTCGCGCAACTCTCGACTCCTCTGTCAACAGCTGGAGATGTTCTCGCTTGAGTCTTCTGTTCTCCCTGATCAGGTGCCTAATATGGTGCGGTGCTGGACCATTTAGGTGTCTAGGAACTGCCGTAGTCTCGGAGCGGGTGCTGTCCTCGTGCGCTCGCAGGACAGCATTCTCCAGCTCCTCTACTGCGTTGTCCAGTTCCTCCGCTGATCGGATGGTTGGAATTTGAGTGATGTTCCTTTGGACGTTGGATTTGTACAGGTTCCAGTTCGTCCGTTTGGTGCTCAAGCTATCTCGAGTTCTAGACCCTGTGCCAAGTGTTAGTAGAATCGGATTGTGGTCCGACGATCCTTCCACTAGGGTCTCTATCTCGAACTCCTCTCTGATGTTGCGGAGGATGGCTATGTCCAGTACCGCAGGTCGCCCAAGGCCGAATGGAATGTAGGTTGGTTGCTCCGGACCGACGATGACCCCCGCCAGGGCATCGACGTGTTCCTGGAGCTGCCTTGCATTCCTGTCTTCGACGTTGTTGTTCCAAGCCGGAGACTTGCAGTTTAGATCTCCGATGACTATGCGTGCTCCTGGGCCTCTCAGGAGGTCAGCGATGTCATCTTCGTCTAGGGCCTCCCCTGGTGGCACATATAGGGAGGTGATTCTGTAGGGACGGTGGTTGTGATGGACCTGGACCGTGATTCCGTCCCCATTTATGTCTGCGGCATCGTCGAGGACATGACTCGTCAAGGTACGTTTGACGAGTAATGCGACTCCTCCACCTCTGCCCCTTCTGTCGTAGCGGTACGTCTCGTACCGCGGGAACGTCAGACTATGGGCAGCATCCAACTTCGTTTCTTGGATGGCCATCACCTCTGGTTGGTACTGGTCTAGTATCTCCTGGATTTCTGGTTTCCGTGCCCTGAATCCGTTGATGTTCCAGGAGATGATGCGTAGAGATTCTACGTTTTGACCTGTAGACATTTCGGGTCTAGTGCTTGTCTTGCATCTTGGCCTCGAGTGCATCCAGGCGGGTTATGATGGCTTGCATCATTGCCAGCAGTCTGTCATCGCCGTGTTGCTTCTGCGCAGTAGTTCCAGTAGCAGTGGCGGCTGCTGGAGCAGAAGTGGACATAGGCTTCTTCACTTTTTGGGCGTAAGAAGTCCTATTTGTGGTGGGGACTGCTTTGGGGGCAGAAGCAGCTTTCTTCGGCGCCTTACTACATCCCTTGTAGTTGGCGGGGTGGCCTTCTCCACAGAGGCAACACTTGGCGTTTCGTTGCCCTGTTGGCGGCGCTGGCAGACTGCAGCTGGTGCTGTTGTGGTCCTCTCCACACTTAACGCACCGTTCAGCGAGACGACAGTTCCGCTGTGTGTGCCCGTACCGCTGGCAGCGGTAACATTGGCTGGGCTCGGAAGACTTTTTCTTCCTCTCGAAGCCGACCGTGAGCATGGCCAGCCTCTGGATCTCTGCAAGCTTTTCCGGCATCTTCGTCTTGACGAGGAAGAGCGGAAGTGGCTTCTTTGTGGTCCTTGAGGTCATCTGCTGAACCTCGGCGTCTGCGATGCCTTGGCTCACTAGATCCTCTTTGATGTCATTGACTGACATCTCTCTCGGAAGCCCACGAATGACCCTCTGGTCCATCCTGTCCTCCTTCAGTTGATATGTGAAGAAGGGCCGCTTGATGGATTCCAGCAGTGCGACTAGCTGACGGTAGTCAGCTGGTGTATTTGTGAATACCTTCACACTGGTACCCTCCGTCCTCGCTTTGGAGAATTGAATCCCCTTGCTGTTCATCATCCTACTCAAGGATGACCAATCAGAAGTGCCCTCGATATTGATTGGCGGAACTCCTGTTTCTGCCATGGGGGCCTCGGTGGTCCTGGTTGCTCTAGGACCTCTCTTCTTGGTGGCAGCTGGCATCTTTGGCTGCCTGGGTTCTTCTTCTTCGGAGGAGGAGGAAACTCGCACCCGCTTCCTCCGTCTTGTGGCGACACTGAAATCGGTGTCGTCCGTCCTCTTCTCGGCTTCGTCTACGTCGATATCTTGGGCATCCATGTCCAAGTTCTCCGTAGGCTTCTGGTCCTCCTCTCCCTGGTCCTCTTCTTCTTCTTCTTCCTCCGTCTTCTTCGCTTTCCTCTTTGCTTTGAGGAGCTTCCTTTTTACCTCATCGATTTCATCCCTCGCCCGCTCAAATGCTTCTTGCAGATTTTTCATCTGCTCAGCAAGCATTGCAAAATTCTCTTCTTTCTGCTTCAGCTGGCTCGCCAGCTTCTCTACTTTCGCCATCGTGGATGGCGATCGTACCGTGATGAAAATCACAGTAGGATCGCA